TCACATGTCTCATCTATCTTATGCTTTCTCTTAGAGACATAACTCTGTACATCCTCCAAGCCATTTTTGTATGCCCATTTATAATGGTTGTATCACTGAGCCTAAGCTGAAATGTTGGAGGTACATATACATTTTCTGTAACCTTCTAGTTTACCTAGCTCATTGGTGAAAGGGACGATTTCCTATTGTGCTCTATACAGATTTAAGTAGGTACTTCCTTGGATCTGAGGTCCCTGGTGAAGATGGGCATTTGTTTTCTATATGAGAGTGTGCTCCCATTCTCCTGTTGTTTATCTCTTTGGGTTTCAACATGTCCTCTTTGTAATGACTACACTACCATCCTCTTTTATAATCCCACCTTTAAGGTTAGTTGGCTCCTGGTCTATTTTATTTTTCCATTTGTATTGTCAATTCTGTCCTTTAAGAAGAACACCACCTTTCTTCTAAAGAAGTCCTCTTTCTCCAGCTTAATTGGTCTGTCTTCCTTTATTCATTTTTTTTTTTAACCTTCCCACTGCTTCCATTCTGACTTCAAAATCTAAATATATATTTGGAACAAATAAGGTTGCTACTTGATTTTCTGAATAGGCCTGATTCCTAGGGAAAGGAGAATCCACACTCTTTTTAATACCCTTCCTAGTTTTGAAGATTATAATAGTATATAACTTCTCTCTACCCCAAACCCCAATATAACGGACATTTGCATTCCTCTTTTTCTATTTAGGATTAAATCTACCATTCCTCTGTAATTGAACATACAACACTAGTCCCCGGAATTCCACTGGCAGGTCTTATATAGTCAATATGTCTGACACCACCTTGGAACATAAATAGGTGACTCTGGATACCCCATGTCAATGAAAGAACTTAGCCCCTCCCCTAGGTCTCTCATTGGCCCTATAAAAGGATGCAATTCAAATGAAGATAAAATGGAACCAATTGGGTGAGATTATGTAATGCCACCTGCTCATCCCCAGCACAATGTAAGGGCTAGAGTCTCCCAAATTTGTGTTTTGAAGTACACGTGAAACTTGGGCCATTACACCTGAAAAGCCCTCATCTGCAATCTGGCTGAGATTAAAGCACAAATTGTTCCATTCACTAGCACCTTTCTCTTCTGCAGCAGGCCTGTTTCAACTAAATCTATATGAACCAAGATCAGCCATAACAGTCTATGTAGCCTACTTTTGCAAAGCCCCATATCCAGTACCTCTAAAAAAATATTGACTTGCTTATGCACACTAGCTACCATAAGATGCTATAACTTGGAAAGATCAAAGGACTAAAAGGCTCAAGATCACTAAAGCACAAAAGCCCTGTGTCCTGGTATACCAGATGTCCCATCTCCACACATCTTATCTTGATTTCATAATTCTAGTCAGAGTGCCTATTTCCTCAAGATTTAATAGTCAATGCATATTTGTATGTGTTGGGGCTTAAGAGAGAAAATTAATCATATTCATTTCCCCTCTAGGTCCTCAACCAACTGAGTAATAGGTAGGGGAATCAGTCAAGTCAGTATCAACATACAGTATTTTGTTGATGAATCTGTATCTATGGACAAAATTGGGCTTTCTAATACCATTCCTCCACTGCCTCTCCCTCCCCTCCCAATTCCTGGTATTGAGATTACCCACCCAAAGCACAATATACAAAGAAAACACTTACCTGGAAGGCTTCAAAGGAGCGTGGCTGCTCCAAAAGTGGAGAGAGGTGCTCTTCACACCTGCCTCTGGGAGGCAGGCCTGGGCCTCAGCAGGTGCACATGAAAACTGGATCTGAGTGGAATGCGTATAGATACAGGCAATGGGGTGCAAGAGAGAGAGGAGAGCTAAGTGTGTGAGTGTGTGTGTGTGTGTGCGCGTGTGTACACAATGAGTTTCCTGTGTCTCCATCAGAGAACACAATCTTCCTTTTGGAGAAGTGAGAGGTAGAGACAGAGGTCAAAAACGATATTCCAATATGCTTCCCTACTTGTAGAAGAAATGGGAAATAATGACAAATGGCAGATTCTTGTCTCCATGGGTAGGGGAAGGGCCTGTACTTTTCACCCCGTCCCAGCAGGGGTAGGGGAACCAATTCTCTCACACCCTAGGGATGACCTGGAATTCATTCCCAGCTTCCAACCCAGATGTCAGGAAGAGTGTTATTAATAGATTTTGTTAGTAGATCATTACTACGTTAGAACTCACGTTGGCGGGGGTAGGGTAATGGCCCAGAGGTTCAGGCTGACCCCAACCAATCCCCAGGTACACTCACTTACTGAGCTCCATCTGCTTAACAAAAAGAAGCAATGGAAACACTGAGGAAACTAGGAAACCCCTTCCAGGGCACTTCACTAATATCTGCCCCTCCCGAACTGTCTGGCTGCTGGGTTAAGGGGTAACAGCAACACCCAAGAGTAAGAAAGACCAGCCTACAAATCTTGCCTTCACTATGTGGCCACTCTAGTGTTCTGGGTGTTTTCCTCTCCTTCAGTGCTAGCCCAAGGAGGAGTCACTAAAAGACACACTGCCTTTAGGTGAGACTGGGTGCGTTCAGGGTGGTTTGGCCGCAGACATCCCGCATTTAGATTGTGAGAAGCCATCCCCAGACATAAGTCCCCAAAACAGAAAACCAAAAAAAAAAGGACACTACTTGGGAGCTTGCGAATGAAAAGTTATTTATCAATGAATGATTAGAAAAGCCAAGCTTTTTGGAGCCGAATCCAGAATGGCCAGTGGGAGTCTCTCTTCTGTTAGCTTCATCGGTCTGCCTACCCAACGGTAGACCTTCTACCGAAAGGCAAAGTCACAGTCCTGAAGGGGGCTGAAAGCGCCCTTCCTATCCAGTTCCAGCTGAGGAGACAAAGCAAAGGGAGGACTCTTCCCACCACAAACCCACCCCTCCACAATTGGCAGACTCCTCTTCCCATCTGTAACTCAAGGAGAGACCCACCTGCCCTACTTAGTTCACATCAGAAAACAATGAACCTGATCAGGGTCGCAGGCTGTACCCTTTGGGTCCTCCCCTAAGCATTCTTCCCTCGCTCAGCATAGAAGCACTTAGTACAGTCCCAATGTCAGGTTCATATCATTCATTCTCTAGAGGAAGCTAGAATGCCCAGAATCAGAGAAAGAATAGAATTGGCATTGAAAATTAATTTACCAGGTCAACAGATACAATCAATCTCTCCCAAAGTGCCAAAGATTCATTTCCACTTTGAGTCCACATGACACAGACAGAAGGAATGGACTCAACCTGCCAAGAAAAGGGCTTTCAGATTAAACACAACAGGCAAAGGCGTCAGTGGGAACCAAACATTTGAAGGAACACAGAAGTGACAGAGAATAGGGAGCGAGGGGATTTCTGACGGCAGGAAGGGGAAGTGGTGTCCTTTGACTAAGGACCCAGAGAGAAAGCAGGTGGGACAATCGAGCATGGGGTAGTCACTTAGAAAGCCGGGTACCTAAGTTCTAGTCATGGCTTTGGCCAGCAATTTAGCACGTGACTTTGAGCTTATCTAGGCTTCAGTGTCTTCATCTGCAAAATAGCGGAAAGCGGTTTGTTTAACTACATGCCTGTTGCGGTCCTTTGAGATTACAGCATCCTCCACAAGCGCGACTGATGGACTATTACCAGATACTCACAAGAGGGCCAAGGAGAACCTTACCAGAGCAGGAAATGCCTTTTAGCCCCATCTCTAATAACAAGGTCACATGTATACACATTCACACGTACATAAGCAAAGTGGCCGACAATTTCATCCATAGCAGCGGAGATACACATAGAAAAAAATAAATACTGCTGATGCTCAAGTCCTGCACTAGGGGAGAGGGGTCCTGAGGGTGGAACTTGGAGGGACTCCAAGGGCTGGGGAGAAGGGTCCTTTTATCTGATAATAGCTTTCACCTGGCTCTTCCTTCCCCCAAACCCAGGGCAGCCAAGTCTTTGGAAGAAGCCACTCTCGCCTCACCCTCCTCAAACCACCAACTCACCTGCTGCTAAAACAAAACTGCACAGATCCCAAAAGAAATCATCCCCTAGTTAGCCTTTAAGACATGAACAGAATCTACCACACCTGAGATTACTTTTAGTGGGCAGCTGGAACCACGTGCCCTATTTCCCTGAATCTTGTTTTTGGACCTATCTCACCCAAAGACACTTGGGCTCACCCTCTGGGTGAAGGGGGAAACTCGCCTGGGCCATCCCTTTATTTTCTGGCTGTTTCCACATTTTAAAATCCATCTCATTGTGAGAGGGAGTCGAGAAGTTACCCTCCCCGTGCAGGAATCCAAACAGGAAGAAAGGCTACCACGCAAGCGCAGGGCTCCGCCCCGCACGACAGGACCTGCCGAGCAGACTCGCACCCTTCCCCAGACAGCGAGAAGAAGCATCTCCCAGCCATACATCCACATGGACTCTTACATGGTCTCTCCTAGCAGAGGTAGCTGGGGCTATTGGGGAGTGGAGAACTTCAACCTCCCATCAACCTGGGATCCCTGTTGAAAAGATACTAAAAATAAATTAGTAAACATTGCTGTTTACAGAAATAGAAATCATTTCTGTTTCCAAAGGCCTCTCACCAATCCAGTCCTGGCCATTTCCAAGACTGCCGCCCCTGATACCCTCGTCAAGGTCCGCCCTGGTGGGTGGGTAAGACACCAGAGTCCTCTGAGACTGGGAGCTCCTCAGGCACCTGAGAATTCCAGTTTCACATCTCCTCGTCCAGGGAAGGGATCATCTTCAGGACTCTGGGGAGTTCCGGGGTTCATCCCTTCTCACCAGTTCCTGGGGGCTGTCCTGAGGCAACCCTCCCCCTCTTAGGATGACATTCGTTTCGTAAGAATTCCTGCTGTTTCCGGGTCCCCAGTCCCTCCCCAAGGTCCAACAATCCTGCCTGGACGCACCCTCAGAGCGCAGGAACCAGTCTGTGCCTTGTTCTAACGACACTGGGAAAGAGGGACGGGCAGAGAGAAGGCAGGGAAAACGGCCTGGGGGGATCGTCCTTGGGTGGACGACTAGCAGCAATGACTGTCAGACAGGCTGGCGGTAAGGCTGGGCGCCTGGTCGGGGATGGAGCCGGAGCTGTCCACCAGGCTGGCGGGTTGCGCGTGGACGCGGGGCGTGCGACGACGCCCCCGGTACTCGATCATGTCGGGATGATAGGCTGGGTGGCGACGGGCGTGCTTGGTCAAGTGGTCGCTCCGGGAGAACTGCTTGGGGCAGAGGGGGCAGGAGAAGCGCTTTTCGCCCGTGTGCGTCCTGTAGTGGCGTGCCAGCTCGTCGGAGCGCGTGAACTTCTTGTCGCAGTCGAGCCAGTCGCAGGAGAAAGGGCGCTCGCCCGTGTGGGTGCGCTGGTGGGACTTCAGATGCGACGACTTGTAATAGGCTTTGTTGCAGCCCGGGAAGGGGCAGCGATGGCGCTTGGCAGCAGGTGTGACCGGCCTCCGACGGGCACCTGGACTCATTGCGGGGGCGGGGCCCACGCCAGGGGCCACGCCAGACACCCCGCCGGGGACCGCAGGCGCTCCGGAGGCGGCAGGCGCGCCGGGGACCTCGAGCGCGCGGGACGAGTGCGCGGGCCTGGAGACTTCGGCTGCGCTGGAGGCCGGAGCCGGCTCTGAGCGCAGGGTGGACGCGGAGCACGGGCTGGGGCCGGAGGAGCCGGACGAAGCGCGCAGAGCTTCCCCCGAGTTCTCCCCGAAGCCCTCCCCAGAGCCGCCGCGCAAGTCAGCCAAGACGCTTGCAGCCAGCAGGTGGGGCGCGGCGCCGCCCGCGCCAGGGCTGGGGGCGGGGACCTGGGAAAGCAGGGGGACCGACGCGGGCCCCGGTGGCCCCGGACCCGGCAGAGCGGACTCCGGCGGCGCCGCCGCACCCACCTCCGAGCCTGCGGCTCCGCCCGCGCCCTCGGGGTCCTGCGGGCGGCGGTGAACCACGGCGCCCGCGGACATGGACACCAGGCACTCGGCGGCGAAGTAGTCCAGACACGCCACGGCGGCTGACATGCTGGCACGGCCGGGCCGCCGGCGAGCGCGGTCCGAGCGCTGCCGGCCGCGAGCGAGAGAGTTCTCGGGAGCGTCCGTCCCGCAGCCTCGGAGCGAGAAGCAAGAGGCCCGGTGCGCGCCGCCAGCCGCCCGCCGCTGCTGCCGCCGCCCGCGCGGAGCCCGCCCCGCTTGACGCGCCCCTGACGCACCGGAGCCCGCGGGGGCGGCGGGACCCGCCCCGGTCCGCAGGACACCCCCCGGAACGCGCGGCCCGCCGGCCTAAGTCCCTGTTAACAGCCTAAGAAATTATCTTGTCTTCGCGTTCTTGCCTCTGCTGGCGAGCCAGGTAATTTTAATAAAGAGAAAACTCTCCGATCGTAACTTCTGGGCAGCCTGCCGGCTTCGCCCCCCCTCGCCCGCTGGTCCTCCGCCAGCTGGGTGTCCGGCGGAGTCCGAGAAAGTTTTTTTATTTTTTTAAGGGGAAAAAAATGTTAATACCTGACCTGTCTTTCGATTCATAATGACGATCGTTAGTTAAGCGGGCTGGAATTGCATTTCACTTCTGTCCACCGCTGTCAGACCGAATTAAAAATCTCCCTCAGTCTGCATCGAAAAAGTTTTCTCATTTAGCAGTTCCGCCGTTAATCCCGGGTCGGTACCAATTCCCTAAATAGATCCACTACGTATCCATTAATTAATAGCGTTTTGAATCAGAAACATTTTTAACCTTGCAAAAGCAAAGAAGCCTCCTCTCTCCTGGTTGAAATTGAAACTTAAAATCCTTTGAATAACGATTTAACTCTTCAACCAACGAAAGAAAAATGCATGTTTAAACTGCATTAACCTGTACCAGGCATGCGAACAAATTTCCACGCTGGAATATAAATTATAGACTAGTAGCGAGATAAACACATTAAAATGGACTCCCACAATTTTGATAATAGAAAGTCACGTTTCTAATTAGACAACATCTTTTATTTTTCTTTTGACAAAAATTAAAAATAAGGAAATGCAGCAGATGATATAGAATTGCTCATATGATGTTTTGTGATTCTGGAGGCTTTCTAGGTATATATATATATTTTATATTCCTTTATTGCTTTCATTTCTTTTCTCATTTGATATTTAAACAATTGAAAACATAGAAAAGCAGACAGGATGATTTTTAAAAATGCTCATAGCAGGGGTTTTGATGTACACAAGCCTCACTGATATACTGAATTATGTGCATTGTGTCTGTGGTTTTCAGTGCTTTCTCTTTTCAAAATTAAAAATGCATCCACATCAAGAATAACACCTTTATGTATTTCCTTCCTAGAATAATCAAATGTGATACATTTGTTATATTTGCCTCAGGTTTTTATTTATATTAAAGATGACAGAGTTGAATGTTACTTGCCTTTCTCCCTCCTCACTTCTCTAAGTAATCAGTGTTAAAATGTGTGTATTCTTCCAGCATTTGTTATTATGCTTTTATTACCTAATTACCTGTATATTTACATGTAAATATACATATATACTTATGTGTTTAAATTTTCTTTATAAATGGTACAGTAATGTACATATCATTTTGCAACTTACTTTTCCCCCTCAGTATGATTTTGAGATCTATACTGATAACTACAGAACCTATTCATGTCAGTAGTTTTATAATATTGTCAGCTTTGTGATTTTTGTGGAGATTCTATTCTAAAACAGACAGTTATTGTAAAGTTGCTTGCTTCAAAAATTTAGACAGTTAACTCTTATTCTACCCATTAAATTCTGTCAGAGACAGAATTCTTTACTAGCTGTTTCTAGTTTTGTTATTTAGAAAAAAAAATGGAAAGATGTTTTAAAATGCAGACAGGATATCACAAGCACCATTTACCTATCTCATAAAATTGGTCAGTGTTAACATTTTGCCAAATCTGCTTCAGGTCTATTTTTAAAATTGACTATTTAACATTTCTGATAAAATTAAAATCCCTTTGTACTCCTCTCCAAAACCACTCTCCACCCTTTCCTCCAAAGGCAAACACTATTATGAATTTGGAATGTAACTTTACAATCTAGGTTTTGCAACAAATGAACCCATAAAAACACTGAGCATGGCTTGGATTTTTTAAAATGTACACGTGTGTTGTTAAACTGTACCTATTGTGACTTTTTTTTTCTTCATGGTATGTTTCTGTTCTTTCTCTCCATGGTGATAAATACACATCCAATTCATTCACTTTAATTGCTGTATTGTAAATCCACGCATATGAATGAGCTGTGTTTATTCATTCCCCTATTGATGAAGATTTTAAGTGGCTGATACCATGACACCAATATTTGGGCATCATAGGCAGTGCTAGCATGAATGTATATGTACTTGTGACCCTTGCACATATGGGAGGATTTCTCTCTGGGGAACCTAGATGGGGAATTGCTAGCCTGCACACACATTTGCAGTTTCATTAGAGGCTGCCAAATGGTGTTTGAGTTCACACACCCATCAGCAGTATGTGAGAGCTGTCCCCCTCACGTGACCCTCGATACTTTCTGGATTCAGACTTTCCGTTTTTCTGACAGTTTGACTTGTTAAAGACCCAGCACTTCATCGTCTTATTTGAATCTCCCTCACTGCTAGTGCAGTTGAGGATTTTATTGGCTATTACGGTTTCTGAGGCTGTGATTTGCTTTTTTGCAGTCACCCATTTTTCCAGTAGGTTATGAACACTTTCATCTTTGTTCCTCTTGATTTGTAGGAGTTCGTGCAAACAAACCTGTTGTCTCAGTCTGTGACCCCTCTTCTAACTGCTTTTGGTGCCTTTTGTACTACAGAAAATTTTAAATGTGGTCATATTCATTGATCTCTTTCTTTATAGTTATTGTCACCTGTGTGTCTTATTTAAAAAAAAAAACCAAAACAAAACTCTCTCCATACCTGATGCCACGAAGAGAGCCTTCTATGTATTTCTTCCCCTGAACATTGTAAAGTTTTGTTTGCTCCACTTGTGAAGTTGATCCATCTGGGACTTACTTTTTTTTTTTCCAATCGTGGAAAGTAGGAATTTAATTTTACTCCCCCTCTCCCCCACGTGGAAAACCTCAGTTGTTCTGCCCTGGTTTGTCGAACCGCTTTTCATCCCCCCATTAGTGTGCAGTGCCACCATGGCTGCGAGCTGAACTTCCATACATCCACCGATGTGGTTCCTGCATTGTCTTTCCCCACTGGTCAGACCAATTCGGAGCCAGTACCACACTGTTTTAATTATTATGGCTTTATAATAAGTCTTCATGTCTGGAAGGTCATTTCCCCCCTTTGTCCATTTTAGACACTGTGCTGGCTGCTTTTGAACTTCGGCTCTTCCTCACTAACTCCAGCATCAGCCTGTCAACTCCCACTGAAAAACCTCTTGGTATTTTGCGGAGTTAAATTTATGGGTTAAATTTCGGGAGCTGTGCCATCTTTATGCAACTGAGTCGTCCAACACATTAGTAGTGTTCTGATTTCTTCATGCCCTTCAGTAACACTTGATGACTTCTTTACAAAACTCTTGTACCTGTTTGTTAGATTTATTCCCAGGTAACTTACAGCTTTTGCTGCTCCTGGAAGTTGGAGTCGTTTAAAAGTTTTTAGTAGGTTATTGCTGCTCTTTGGACATTTTTATTGATTTTGGAATAATCTCGTTTTAGCAAGCATGCTGCACCTTCTTATTAAGTAGTTTATTTACAGATTCTCCTGTATTTCCATGTAGATAATCGTACTATGTGTACTTAACACTCGGGATACTTTTCCCCTTCCTCACCTCAGTGGGTGGGCTGGGACCTCCAATAGAACATCAAATATTAAAGGCGAGAACAAGCATTGTTCTCCTATTTCTAGTGGCTTGAGAATATTTCTAGTGTGTTATTATTTATGATATTTGTTATCATTATTTATGATTATTTATAGAAACCTTTTTCAGGTTAAGGAGTTCCCTTCTATTCCAGTTGAGTTTAAAGTAGGAATATTTTAAGACCATGAAATGAATATTGAATTTAATTAAGTGCTTTTTCTAAGACTATTGAAATGATTATAGGTTTTTTCTTTGGTATATTAATGGAACAGGTCACTTTGATCGATTTTTCTAATGTGAACTAACCCTTGGATTCTGAGATAAACCTCGTTTGGCTGTATGTACTTTTATTTTTAATACACTGCTTCATACAGTTGGTGAATGCTTTCTAATTTTAGCATCTATGTTCATAAGTGATATTGGCTTATAATTTTCTTCCCTTGCACTGCTTTTGTCCATGTTTAGCATCAAGGTTATCGTCCTCGTTACGTGCCCTTGGGTGGACGCCGGCTCCCGGCCACACCATGAACGAGTGATGTCCGCACGCCCTGTCCTCGCAAGCCCCGCCTGGGTCCTGTGAGCCATGTGCCTGTGGCTTCTTTGATGCAGCCGATCCATGTCCTGTCTGGTCCTCCTCTCTCCCTGCCCCCTTGCCTTTTCCCTGCCTTCTCATGACGTGCCCCACGCAGAACAGCTTCAGTTTTGCTGTTTTTGCCTCCAGCAACATTTCAGGCTCATTTCTCTGGTGGTCAGAGTATCTGTGGAACTGTCCTCCATGACCATCTCTGAAATGAATCCATTTTTTTTCTTAGCAGGCTTCTTCCCTGTCTGACTTTCTCATCTGTGCGTAGTAACTGGGAACACAAGGGTGTGGGTGATCTTTGCCCCTGTCTCTGATGACCCACCTTTGCTCTTGGTGATCTTTCTTAATTTTCACCCTTCTGGGTCTCAGCCCCCTTTGCATTTCTGGGTTGCAGTCACCATCTGAACTGATGACTGAGCCAGGGTAAGCAAGATCTGTAACAATTCCACTGTCTTGTTTCAGGATTCTTGTGTTCTTGCTGCTCGAATGCAGCCCCGCTTTGGCACTTTCTTCTTTTCACTTTCATCAGAAATTGTTTCAAATCATTGCTACTTTCTGCCAGTGAGATGGGACCATCTGCATTATCTTAAGTTACTGCTATTTCTTCCACCAATTTTCCCTCCTCCTCCCTC